GTGGAGCCAAGGTCAAAAGCTCCCAGCTTGTATCACAGATTCACTGATCAATTAATGCCCACTGGGGGCCCAGATGTTGACAACTTTTTTTTTTTTGGGGCAAATGAAGTCACTTTCTTTTGCAACATGGTAACATGGTTGCCTGAGTCACCCATAACTTGACTGTGTCACTCTACATTTAATTTCTTTCAAATCACAGCATCTATCTTTCTGAGATCTTGATTGGGTAGGATTTTATTTTTTCTGAGGTCCAAGGAAAAAATACACTAAAGTATCCAAGCTTCATGTGCTTAGGTCATCCTTATATCCAGACAAGAGAAGGGACCTGACCTAAACTGTACCTGTCACATTACAATTAACCCAAAAGACGGTTCACCAAACTCCTACCCACATGCTGGGGGGACCTACCATTTTAGTGGGAGCTCACTTGGCACATTTCGTATATTACAAAGCAACCAAATTGAATGATTCTATCTAATTGAGTCTTTTGCCAGTCTATTTCATATACTATCAGGCTCTCTTTTTGGTTGGTGCCGCACCATTTCCTTGCTTTTTATTTGATGATAATGATTAATGAAACAGGAGGATCTTATCTTCAGTTGAATTGAAAGTTTGAAACCCTCCACCCCAGCTTCTGCCCTAGTTCTAGTGCCCCCAGGCCCCATCTAATGATACATCAAGTTTCAAGAATCACCAGCTTTCCCTGTGCTTCCGGCCAAATCCATGTGAGTCCTGATGGGCTAGAAATCAAGTGGGTTGAGAAACCTACCAAGAGTGAATAGATCAATGTTTCATATGCATGGGCCCACGTGGAATCCATACCTTATACATACCAAGCACTGGTATTTTCATTCTTGATAGGTTGTTTAGTTCATTGTTTCTAATTCATTCAAGGTGATGTTTGGTTCCATGGGTGTTTATTGAAAAGATGCTACCACATCACATGTGCATGGGACATTTGGAGAAACATTAAATTCTCATTTCTTCCTCTGTGTTAGTATTTCTTGAAACCAAATGCTTATGTAGCACACTTTTATGGGGTGTTAATCTAAGGTGGAAAATAAAAAAACATTTAAAGTAATGCCCAGCCAAACAACAAAAACAATAAACGTTTAAAGTGAAATTATACATGATGAAGCCAAAAATGGTCCCACCAATAAATGAGGCACAGAATCCGTTCGCTCCCTCAGGTTTGATGAGGTGGCTCGGATCGGGTTCAGCCTGTGGTGTGAGTCGAGCTATGAGGCCGAGCTGGGGGTCCGAGCTGAGAGCTGAAAAGGAAGAGAGGTTAAAGTGCCTGGGTAGATTTTTACCCAAGGGGACACTCCGATGCTTAAGTTAGCAAACGATCATTTATAGGAGAGAATATGAGAGAGTGAGAGTTTATGTGCGCATATCTTTTGGAGTGGTCATGGGGCCTTTTTATAGCTACCCGAGGTTCAGGTGCTATCTGGTAACGTCTCTAAGCCTTGTACAGAGCTATTTCCTAAATCCTGGGGTGTACTGGTCAGTTGTTTGCTAGATCCATGTGATGGTTACAGGTCGCCTGCTGGTCTGGGGGCAATCAACTCGGTGGACCGTTCTCTATGCTATAGTTATAGCGCTTATGTGGACGTTGTTCGCAGGGCTGTTTCGAGCGTGTTGGGGCTATCGGAGGATCGAACTTGCCCTAGCTCGAGTGTGCATCTAATGTTGATTGTCACGTGTTACTCCAGCAAACTGTTCTACTGTGTTGGATGTTGTGGGCCGAGCTTGCTCTAACTCGGCTTCGTACCGGATATTGACCGTTGCATATTGAGCTAACGAGCTATCTTGCTGAGTGAGACGCTGCATTACTGACAACATTCACGTGTCCATCATCAAGTGGGTTGACCAAAATACCCCTCATCAGTACAAATAAATGTTTAAAGCATAGCCCATCTATAAATGCCCACGAAACCAAAAATATACCAAGTAAATCCTTGATTAGGATTGCATAGCTTCCAAATGGAACCACTGTTCAGGAATATTCAGGATCAAGGGATATTTTCCATCTAGAGCCACACATTAAGAATATCTCTCATACTTGTATCTTTTACTTTAAAAGTGAGCCCATGAATGAAAACATAAACGGAAAAGTATGGATACATACGATGCAGAATTCTAAATTCCAGCCCCCACTACTACTAGCCCTCTCCCCTCTAAACCACATCCTATCCGTGAATTTGACATCAATTCACGATCAGGATGCATTTTCCCTGTACTTTGGAACTATAAAATTCTGATATGGGCTGATTGGTCATTCTCCCAAACATAAAAGTATCAAAAGATGTTCCCGATGTATAACTGTGGTGTGTTGCAAGTAGCAGATCTTAGCTCAATCTTTTAAATGTATCTATTTCCCTTTGTTTAGAAATATTCCTATATCCATGTGAACCACTGGTACTGTTTTCTATTTTTAACCAAAACTAATGAAATCTCAGGTTTTTGCTTCATTCTGCTTTCAGTTTCAAACCCTTCCAATAAAACTTTAATTTTGGCTATCTCATTATGATAATAAACAAAAAAAAATCATTAAAAAAACTTTGTCATAACAGTTAATTAGTAATTTAGTATTAACGGCTAGTAGCAATTTGAATCTGCATGTGCGAAACATCTTTATAGATAATTTTCCATATTTATTTTGTCTTAATTCAATAAACGATGCTCTGACAAGGAAACCATCTGTTATACTATATACCAGTTGTATGGTAAAATTACCCTCACTTCCCCAACGTTGTTTGTGTGGGGTTACAAATTTACAGGAGAGGACCCCACATAGCAGTAGCACCATGGTGAAGATGAAAGGACATGGGTAAATGCTATCACAATTGGGCTTGGCAGGTCAGACGAGGCCCGTGATGTTAGCATTGCTTAAGGACTTCCACTTGGATTGCGCGTTAGCTGGCCCAGGTCCGATGGGCTTGGGCTGCAATTGTTGTGTTTCTTAGGCTCAGTTTTCAAGGAGTACAAATACTTATATTTTGTATTATTTTGTAAGTATTTGTATCGTATATATTTATACATTTGTACTCTTTTTAAACTGAGCCTAAATACAAATATATACAATATAAATACATATAAAATAATATAAATACAAGGCTTTGCATTCAATAAGTTTGTATTTATCAAACCACATTTGCTAAAATAGTATTGTAGCAATACATCTAAAGGCCATGATTTTCGGTTTTAGCCATGTGCTACGATAGTATCGTAGAAAAAGTGAATTCATAATGATCTAGTAGGCACGTTAGGTAAGCACAATGAGTGAGCACCTAATAGCTGTGTGACACTTGTCCTGGTTAATATGCCTAGATCACGTTTTTGTTCCATTAGACAGGAATTATCCGTTATCTTATTATCTCTGTTAAAATAATTAAAAATAAAAACCAAAAAAAATGAAAACTTAAACATGTTGGGAGTTGGGACTCATTGGACTCTCTCCGGTCATCTTCCGTTTAGGGTTCTGTCTCTCCAATACCGACCTTCAACAGCTGCAACCGAGTTCTCTCATACACAGCTTTTCCTAGCCATCTTCCTCATCCGCTATTTACAATTGAAAAGAGGGTCCTGAACCAAGTTGAGAGGGCATCATTCCTCTTTAGAGATTCTTCTTCTTCGCTTTATTGGAAGAAAGAGAACTTTTGAAGGTTGGAGTTGGAATTTTGTGGTTGAAGGTTGAAGTTGGAGAGAACTTGGTTGCAGCGGCTGAAGGTCGGAGTTGGAAGAACCCTAAACGGCAAAAGGGTGGAGAGAATCCAATGAATCCCAACACGTTTAGGTTTTCCTTTTTTTATTTTTAATTATTTTAACAAAGATAATAAGATAGTGGATAATTTCTATCTAATAGAACAAAAACGTGGATGAGATCTAGGCACATTAGCCGGGACAAATGTCACACAGCTATTAGGTGCTCACTCATTATGCTTACCTAATGTGCCTAATAGATCTGGACCCCCTTTTTTTTGTATTTTGAGAGTTTCCATTGACCAAGATACCCATGTTCTTTTTTTCAGATTTATGTAAGGCCCATGAAAAATTTATTTTCCTTAGGTGTCACTTACCCGAGTGAGTGGTACCCATTTCCCATGTGGGTAAACTTTCCCACCTTGGGTGAAAATTGCCAATACTTGAATGGGACAATCCCCTTTCAGTAATTGCTTTTTATGACTAAAACAGTCATTTTTTTTATTTACCTAGAAAATAAAAGAACATGAGTAAATGCATTTACCCATATAAGTATTTTCCGAAAAGCGGATGGAGCCTTAGGGCATGTTTGGGAGTGCTTATTCAAATAAGCACTTATTTGCATTTGGCACCCAACTTTTTCAAGTGCTTATTTTTAAAATAAGCACTTATTTTATATTGGGTGTTAGGTGGTCTTTTTCTCCAATAAGCACTTAAATAAGCAATTTTGACTCTTGTCCTTCATTTTCTTTCAAAATTTCAAAACATCCAATACGAAATGAATGAATAAAAGTACTTTGATAGAAGTGCTTTTATAAAAGTATTTTTACAAAAGTGCTTTCATAAAAGTACATGGATAAAAGCACTTCCGTAAAATACTTTTATAAAAGTGCTTTTATAAAAGTGTTTTCGTAAAAGTACTTTTATAAAAATACTTTCGTAAAAATACTTTTGTAAAAGTATTTTCATAAAAATATTTTATAAAAATGCTTTCGTAAAAGTACTTTTACAAAATTACTTTCATAAAAATACTTTAATTTTGTAAAAGTGCCTTTGTAAAAGGGTTATAATTGGTATTCTAAAAATTCACTGGGACAATTATGGGAGAAAAAAATTGAATAAGTGCTTATTGTACAAGCACTTAAAAAAAAACTGAAAATTTAGGCTTAAAAAATAAACCTTTATTTTTAATATTTAATATAGTCACTTATTGCAGACTTATTTCTCAAACACTAATAAGCGCTTAATGGTGTGGTCTCTACCCAAATAAACACTTATTTTTAAGCACTACCAAACATGGCCTTCACCCAAATTTGAACCAGTAAAGAGCCAGACCAGAAGCCCCACAATATGCCTTAAAGCAAATATTGGAGGTACCGACAAGACACTACAGCCGTTTATCAGGAATATCTTCCCCTTGAATGATAACTGAGATGTTCCCGATTCGTAGCTGTAGACTGTAGTGTCTTATATGTAGCGGTAGCAGATCCAGACTCTGAAGTAAACATCGCTATTCGCTAGCGTCACGGAGACGGAGGTCCCCAATCACAAAAGGACAAAATAAGAAGATTGGGTTTTTGTGCAAAACAACTCCGTAAAAACTAACTATAGTTACGGCCTTACGGTTACGGGTATCACATCATACCCAGATACACTCACCCTCATGACGTTGTCGATTATATCCGGCCGTCCATAGCGATGTTTGGAACTGGTCCACATGTACTTTTCTCAGCGTGAGATCTATTGGGGACGATCAACCTTAGATCCACTGTATACTTCTCCAAATATAATAGATAGAGCAACGCTTCGTGAAGAATTACCGATAGACATAACGGCTAGTTTTGGAACGGTAACTCCAACGGTCGAATAATTCGAAAATTCTTCTCATATCAACGCCTCGCTCACCAAGGGAAAGTAGATCTTCTCTCCCGTCTGTGCTCTGTTCTCTCTCAACTTGACTCTACTCTCTCTCCCTCTATCTTTCTCATCTCCGTTTCTCTCCCATAGAACTGCTTCATCTGTACAAACTGCAGAAACCCTTCAACTAGGATGATGATGCAGGATCTATGGAACGCCGCCCAACCTGGTCTCAGACCTTCAAAATCTGCTCCTTGTTCACCAGTCAAGCCTTTGGGGGTCGCCAGAACTCGCTCGGAGTCCTTTCATGTCACTCACAAAGTTCCTGTTGGAGATACTCCTTACGTAAGGGCAAAAAATGTTCAGGCAAGATTTCGAAACCCAAATGTCCATTTCAAGATTGTGTCTTTCCCAATTCCCAGTTGTTATGTGTTCGATTTTATCTGACGAGAAAGCCTTTCGTTTTTGAATGTTTATGTGGATCAGTTGGTGGATAAGGACCCTGAGAGAGCAATTCCACTGTTCTGGGCTGCAATCAATGCCGGAGATAGGGTTGACAGTGCTCTGAAAGACATGGCTATTGTAATGAAGCAACAAAACAGGGCTGAAGAAGCCATTGAAGCCATCAAGTCACTGAGGAGTAGGTGTTCAGATCAAGCCCAGGAGTCTCTTGATAATATTCTTCTGGATCTTTACAAGGTTTCTATAATTTCCTATTCTTTCTTCTCTAGCTTTTTTAGGGTGTCTCAGACTGAGACTGGGGAGGAGAATTCCGTGGACTGAAAAGCGATTCTTTTTCCTTATCTGCAGAGATGCGGGAGATTAGATGATCAAGTTGCACTTCTGAAACACAAATTGTACTTGATTCAACAAGGAATGGCTTTCAATGGAAAGCGTACCAAGACTGCTAGATCCCAAGGGAAGAAATTTCAGGTTTCAGTGGAGCAAGAAGCAACGAGGTTACTGGTACGTGTTCCCTTTCCACAACTTTGTTACTCCTCCTCCTTGAAACTTCTTAATTTATTAATGTGGAGGGGAAATGGGCATTGCAGGGAAACTTGGGGTGGGCACTCATGCAGCAGAACAATTATGTTGAAGCAGAAGATGCATATAGACGGGCGCTTATGATTGCACCCGATAATAACAAGATGTGCAATCTGGGTATCTGCTTAATGAAGCAAGGGAGAATTGCTGAGGCCAAAGAAACACTGGGACGAGTGAGACCCGCTGTAGCAGATGGCCCAAGAGGGGTAGATTCACATCTCAAAGCCTTTGAAAGGGCCCAACAGATGCTTCTTGACCTAGAGTCAGAACTGATGAATAAAGGAGTTGACAGGGTTGAACAGAGTCGGCTCTTTGATACCTACCTGGGTTCGTCCTCCATTTGGCAACCTCAGCCTTGCAAGGAGCAGCAGCCCACTGTTCTGTCCCTGTCCTCCACCACCACTAATACAACAAAGCTACACCTACAAGATGATTTTGCTGACGAGAATATTGATTCAAATAGAGTACCCAACCAGGCCGTTCCGTCTCATAGGAGCATGAAACCTGTAATTCCAAATTCACTCAACATCGACGCACCACCATTCTATTCATCCAAGTTAGTAAAAGAGCCAACTCCGGGCCATTTCCATGACCCTCTGGGAAGCCTCAAGAGGACCAGATCCGGCAATGCCGCAGCTGCAACCAAGGAGAATATATGGGAACCACACTTGACAAAACGCACTTCATTTACTGCTGTAGAGCAGCCAGAACAGAAGAGCAGGAGACGATCTCTTTGCAATGAAGAAGCTGGGGACGAGTGGACGGAGCTATTGCCTGATAGTAAGGACTTTGAAGAGGCCATAATTGCAGCAATTCTTGGTCCCTCTAATGAGATGCCCAAGACTGATGGTACTAACAACCCTGGAATCTGCCAGAGAAAAATCGACAAGAGGCTGAAGGTTTTTCAAGATATCACACTGTCCTTGAGCCCAAGAGCCTGACCGAAACGTACTACTAACTTCACTAGTTTTTTTACCCTCTAAAATTAATTATTTGTAGGTTGGAGATGAACTTGTTCTCCCTGGCTCCCATTCCCGTAGAGAGGAAAGGAGTGTGCTGCTGCTGCTGCTGCGTTGGTCACTGCTCTGGCATTGGTCAGTTGATTTGTTGCTTGCCGTTCTCATTGAATTCAGTCTTTCTCACAGAAGGCATAGTTTTGCCTCCATAATAAACTACAACCACAATAAATTGTATTGACTTTGGGTCTGCAATTGAAAATTCCGGTTATCATATATAAAAATCATGGGCAGTCTTGCATGTATCTTTTTTCCCTCCTAGTCTTGACACAGTTGAAGCATTATTATCCCTTCCCCATTCCGACAACTTGAAAACGAACCATAGTTGTTGATTAAAAACTCAGGCTACTGTTGTAATTTGTGAAGAGAGAGCCGCCAGATAAATTCAATTTGGTGTTTGTGAACGAGTAGCGTTGTTGCAAAGGGAGCTGAACTATTTTATCACTAGCTTGTGGGTCAATGTCACAAATTGGTGTATGACGATCAAGCAGATAATAGGTTTTATTATTAATATTATCAATAGAAAATATGAGCAGCCTTCTTTGTCCTGGCTGGATATGTGCCACATTCCACCAACTCTTTCTAGGATAATTGACATGTCCAAAGAACGCCTTTTCACTTGATCCTTCTATTAACTTCATAAAGGTAACTCAGGATCACAACTGCTGCTGCAACTGCGACTCCCACAGCACTTTGCGCCAATATTGCAGTATTATTTTTTGCCTCCACCTTGGGGGAAAACCCTAATTCCGAAAGTTTTTTGTGTGATTCAGCATAATCTCTGAAAAACGCATCCTCATCCTGCCAAAGTGAAAAGGTCCAGTATTAGAACTCTCAAAATCTTCTTGACTAATAATGCACACCCACTTAGTTTATTTCAAGCTGCAAATTCCCAAAATCTTCAAAATATCAGTATCGCATATCATATCGGAAAGCTCTAACAAGATACACTTTGGGGATAATCATGAATACAGTAGAAAATAACCCTGAATCTAATGTATAAATGCACATTTTAATAGTTTACATTGAAAAGGTCCAGTATTAGAACTCTCAAAATCTTCTTGACTAATAATGCACACCCACTTAGTTTATTTCAAGCTGCAAATTCCCAAAATCTTCAAAATATCAGTATCGGAAAGCTCTAAAAAGATACACTTTGGGGATAATCATGAATACAGTAGAAAATAACCCTGAATCTAATGTATAAATGCACATTTTAATAGTTTACATGAAAATATACATCAACCAGTGTTTGAGCTTCAATCAAACTAAAAATTCATATAAAACACACATCAAATGAGTTTTTTTTTCTTTTTTTTTTCCTTTTGGGTTAAATGTTATATCTTATTATAGCTCCCTTAGCATGAAATCATTTAGAGTAACAAAATAAATTATTTTCTAAACTTTGGTTTTTCTTAAAAATTAATAAAATTATTCATTTGTGACAACTTTTTCTTAGATCAATGAGTTATCCATAATATAGTTCTTTCCTACAATGAAAATCATTTATAACATATAAAAATATTGTTTTATAATTTTTGTATTTTTCTAATATTTTGGGAAAAATCCATAGATCCAACAAGTTTGGGCCATCAATGTAATTGTATATATGTAAGTGGTCCAAAGACTCCAGACTATTGAGACAACCTATAAAAACGTCAAAATGTTTGGATGAATAATTGAATAGCAATTAGTGGACCTATGCCGGCAGTCAAAACTTTTAATGGTGGTCATGACTGCAGCCATAGGTCCTGAACAGCATCGTGTTATTCCACCCATGCCGTGTGCCGTGCCTTCAGATACCAATACGTGGTGTATTGTATCAATATTTTGGACCTAAATGTAATATTTGAGGGAGTAAACACAACAAACATTTATTTGAAGCATGTACATTCCCATTTCCAGAAAAGGTCCATACAAAAGAAAAATGCTCAACTATGGTTACTTTTTTTAAGTCACAATAACAGATAATATTACCTTTGCATACAGCTCAACATAACGACGGAACTCAGGAACCTCCAACAATGCTTTGTCTGTTGGAAGCTTCAATAGTCCTTCTGATTCCCCTTTCAATAACTCCCTGATTACAATATTTATAAACAATCACTGTATGAAATAAATATACCCGTAAAAGTCACTCGAGTTCACATTAATATCTTACACAAAATAGGAATTATCAAATTTAAGTGGCTCCTTGGTCCATGGTCCATCAAAGCCTGATCTTTCTGGGTGTGCCCTTCCCTGAAATACCAAAATCAACCAAACTATGTTAGCTTTGATACATCAGGCACATATAAACATCCGGGATTCCAGATACAAACATGCAGAGATTAGTACCAGTGTGTGACCCCCAGATAGTGCCACAATATCTTTGTCCGATAGACCCATCCGATAAAAGACATCCCTCAAATGTTTTACACCTACAGCAAACTCATCTCAGATATCTCAGTTTAATTTCACACCTACAGCAAACAATTATTTTTGTCCTTGAGTTGGGAAAGAGTGTTGGCATGGACGTGTGCTGTAAAAGTAAGGTGCCATTAATTACCCACATCTAGTAGCTCTTATCAGGCCCCAATCACTAGCAAGATGGGCAAATGCCTAAACTCACTTTCTTCTAAAAGGCAATCCCAAGATCAAATGATTTATGCATCAACCCTCATCTTCAGGTCCCTGACCAGCCCAAAGAGATATGCCCAAGTTCTCTTGGGGTAAATGTGGTCCATATGCACTCCTTAGAACAACCATTGCTTTTTTTAATGAAGCCTATGGAAGTAACAAACAGGTTGGAGTTCAAATATGAATAGGAATATATTAAGGTGGAGTTTTGAAACCTTGTTTTGCATCTGGAAGGCGCCCTTCTTTGGGAGAAATATTTGAGTCCTGATAGAAATACCGAAATGGTTAGTAACAGAAGTAACTAGAAAATGAGCTGTTTCTCCCATGATAAGCAGTATTAGTGTACCTTTCTACCAGGAACAAAATCAATGGTGGGGCCTCCGGTAACCTCAACAGCAACAACCCCAGCAAGCTGCAATTGCAATGCATTTAAAATGAGTTGCTCAATTTTCAAATTATCAAAAAGGAAAAAGACTCGTTCTTCAGAACAATATAGATATTTAACCAAAAGTGGTTCATGCAAAGGTGAACTACTGGCGTTCACATTTAGCATGCCAAATAATATGAATGGTTCAAAACATCTTTTAGTATTTCATATCAAGATACCAGTGTCAGACATCTTCCATCATATTTAATAGGGAAGTGCATTGTGTAATTCTAGTCATGAATCTGGAGATCCATGTTATCTAACTTAACATTATTATAACAACTGGGGTTCCTAAGCACACAAAGTAGAAAATACAAGTTTCATGGATTAACAAAACTCTTACTTGAATCAACAGTCAGAAAGGAAGATCAAAGAAGATAGTGATTTCATTGCTCTCCTGTATAGCTAATGCTTTTTATTAATTTTTCACAGCAGTGTAATTCTTGCTCCATTATCTCATTCCTTCTACCCAAGAAATTATGCAGGCAAACTGAAGGCCTTATATAAAATTTCAGATGCCATACTCTTATTCCTTCCACTCAAGAAATTATGCAGGTAAACCAAAGGTACATACTATATAAAATTTCAGATGTCATATTGGATCATGAGAACTTTTCAAATAACAAAATCACAATCAGATTCCTCCTACAATCACCTGATACAGGTCCGCATATGTAATCTTTGGATATTTTGCCTTCACTTCCTCTGAAATCAGAAATAAAAGAACAAACTGTTAAAAATACAACAATTGTAACTTTTTTTATAAATACATTACAATTTTAACTTCCAACTCATGCAAAACTGGATATTCTTATCGATCAAAAATAGTTGGACAACAAAGTAGTTAGAAACTCTGAACTACTCAATGAATTGATTCGTCTATAACTTAGTTTAGGTTATGCATGACCATATCTGTAAAACTGTTATGAAAAAGAACATATTGAAGACTACTTTTAACATTTCTCAATACAGCAATGTTTGATAGGCAATTGTTATCCACTCTAACCCAATCAGATTATGTCAAATTTCAGATATGATTTCATTGTTTAGGTTTTGACAACTTTTGAATCTCCTAAATCAAATTACTTTTATGAGGCAATTGCTTCATTTAAATTTGGGCACTAATATTTCATAATTATTTTGATAAAAACAAAAAATTGCTGATACATTTATAACACCTGATGAATGGAAGACTACTTAGATTCACATGAAGGCGGTCATCAACTCAACAGGGCCAGTACCTCAATAAAATCTATGCTTTAGGGGAAAATCCTGGTATCAATTATTTGACACTTGTGACAAATAGTACAATAAACAAAGCATATGAATAAGAGAAAATATATATATACACACACACACGCACACACAAGTCTATGCTTACACATCAACTTTAAATCACCATAATACCAAAATCAGGCAGATTGAATAAGTTAGGTGCTTATGGTACATGTGTATTCTTTACATTGGTTGAAAGTATAAACATTACATTTTTATCTTGATTATACATTTCTCTCAAAATCAATCAAACCAAGAGATGACTAAATTCAGAAAAAAAAAGGCAAAAGTGCATTTCAATAAATTTTGTGGTTTGTAGTGAATGGCAGTTCCCCCCCCCC